TTCCTTGCTTCCTTCCTTCTTCCTTCCTTTTTCTCCTTCCTTCCTTCCTCCCTTCCTTCCTTCCTCCTTCCTTTTTCTCCTTCCTTCCTTGCTTCCTTCCTTCCTTCCTTCCTCCTTCCTTTTTCTCCTTCCTTCCTTCCTTGATTCCTTCCTTCTTCCTTCCTTTTTCTCCTTCCTCCCTTCCTCCTTCCTTCCTTCCTTCCTTCCTTCCTTCCTTCCTTCCTTCCTTCCTTCCTTCCTCCCTCCCTCCCTCCCTCCCTTCCTTCCTTCCTTCCTCCTTCCTTTTTCTCCTTCCTTCCTTGCTTCCTTCCTTCCTTCCCTCCCTCCCTCCCTCTCTCCCTTCCTTCCAACTGTTTTTTCTAGCTGTGCTCCAATAGTACTAAGGATCTGTGGCATCACTAGCATTGCCATTCCCTCCATTGATGTGGATCACAACCCCATAAAGACTTAGTTGAGGAACTATATGAATTGCTGAGCCTATATAAGTTCTTTACCCTCCAGCCAAGCTGGTAATGAACTGCAGCTAGGTTTTTCTTCAGCTAAAAAACATACTGCCCATCACTGGGACCATATTGGAACATGTAAAGGCAGAAGCATTCACGTTGGAGCCCTGGCTTATCTCCATCTGGAAGGGATGCGCATTGGTTGTGTGAGCAGCACACTGTTCACAATTATTTCAGTGTACAAAAAGGAGAAATGAGATCCCTAGTTCCTATTATGACAAGCAAGGCTTTGACAGACAAGAGTTAATGACGACCAGGGGATTTGGTGGTTATAAAAAGAGCTGTAAAGGTGCAAAGAATGAGTGAAAAAATAAAAGAAGATTTCCATTGTCATGTGTAACCAAGAAAGGATTCCAAGTGTCTTTGTTTATTTAAAAAATACCTAAAAACTTTTGATTCACAGCTTTTCCTAAGGATGTCAGTGAGTACAGCTTCCTACTAGATTAAGTGGCGATGATGTTTGTCCGTTGAGGCCGCTAAGCTAGAATGCACTGTGTTTCTCTTGGAGACTGTCAGGTCATCAACAGTTGTTACAAAGCTTAACAAATAATATAAAACCTCTGGCTGCTTTTACATCGGCATACAGTATATCTGAAGAGAGCCTACAAAAACGTTTTCAGCCGAGGCAACAGAATGCCCGTGATGCCTCAGTAACCGTGGTCTTCGTTGTCTATCTCTAAATAGGTGGTTTTCAGCTTCTTGCCAGAATTGATTATTTGGCCTTTGGGTACCAAAAAGATTAAAAATGAGTTCTAAGAAAGCTCAGTGTCCCATAGCTTTGACCCTGTCAACTTGCAGTGATTAAAGGCGTGTCCTGACTTTGGGCGGGTTCGTGGCTGCTCGCCAGTTGGGAAATGAGCAGTAAACATGTCATCGGTCTGGAGATGAAGAAGATGCTCGACGGGTGCCGTTGACGAGACACAGAGATGGGATCACTTGGCTTAACTCTACAGCACATGAAGGCAGATATACACAGAGTCACATTTTAGAGAGTATTCATGGTCTCCGACCACTTGAAAAAAATTGTGCTTTCTCCAGAATTTTGTGTGCTGAAAATTGCACTCACCCCCTGCTTGTTTGCAAAATTAAATGTAAAAATGAAGTCCCGTGCCAACGTAAGGCTTGCTTTTTTCTTCTCATTAGTATTTCAGAAAAATAAAGGCTGGAAACTAATGTGAGTTTCTCTGCTGTGTACAGAATGACAGCCTGCCCACCATTTCTTGAGCAGGTCTGGGGAATGGGTGAAGGGTTTTACTTAGCTGTCATCTTTGACCACGTACGTTTCATTTCCCATTTCCCATCACACAGCAGTGAACTGCAGACAGAAGTGGGCCAGGTCTGAAGTTAATCCCTTGCCTTCATTATCTGTTAAGTAAAAAGGCCTTTTTGGTAAGCGTGGTGAGAGATGGGTGTTGCCCCAACGACAGCACTTGTTCAATTGATTGGGATCCTTTGAAGAAAGGGATAACTCCATTCCAGTGTGTTTTCAAGATGGTGGCCTTTAGACTCCAGATTCAGTGGCTTTGTTAAAGGAACCAGAGTCTCCATCTTCCATGCTTTTTGGATTCAGTTTTGGATTTTTGCTTGGGAGCGGAGGGATAAGTCTCCGGAGAATAAGGCAAGGGTGCGACCTGAGTTTCCTCAATAGGATGAAGTTTTCTCAGAACTGGCTGGAGCTTATCTTCTTGCTGCTTAAAATCCAGTTCCACACTAAAAAGTGAAAGAGAGGAAGACATTGAGTGCCGAGTCACGTCTACACTAGACACTAGTCACTACAGCTCAAACTCATGAAGCCTTTTTAGGTTAAGAGGGATTATTGGTTGACTGGGTTCCAAAAATATATGTTTTTAAGCATGTTTATGGTTGGCTTTCAATATTGTGGAAGTGCATGGGAAATTATTTTGTTGGGATGGAACCTAATTTGCTATATGCTTTGATTTCTTACCCTTGTAAACTCAGTGTGGCATTTTTCAAGGCATTAGATAGGTTTGTAAAGAGGAAAAAGTTAAACTGTAAATGAAAGAACGAGATCCCCCCCCCACCACCCCCACCCACAAACAAATGCACATATCCAAACAAACTCATCCATACTCACGTAAACACGCACCCCCCTCCCACACACACTTTTGGAATATAAAACATATTGGAATATAAAACTCTTGATAATCGGAGTAAAATGAGAGCCACAAGCAAGCACTTTAAAGATCTGGAAGCTATCTAGGGAAAGCAGCTTAAGGATAACATGCCACACTTCTCACTTGTCACCTCCCTTGGCCTTCTTGACCATCCTCTGACCAGGTTCTTCAGGATTCTTTTCTCCATAGAAAAATGAAGGAGCTGAGGCTTGCTTAGGTCGGGGCCACCCAGCAGCCGGGGGTCATAAAGGAGAAGCAAATCTCATTATCTCCTTAGCCCAGTGTTCTTTCTCCCACACCCACTACACTTCAAGGGGATCCTTTGACCCTAGTATGGGAACGAAATTAGAAAATGTCAGCTGCATAATAAGAAAGCACTTATCATCATCATGGCACCATCTCCCCAGCCCTGTGATGGAAATGAATCACAATGTACTCTTAATATCTGCTTCCTAAATATAGATGGGCGAGAGCCAGATGTCCTGGTCTAGTAATTACGTGAAATGACCCTCTGTGGTTTCCCTTTGAAACATCCTCTTGTTATGATAGAGAAACAATGTCATAATGACCATGCCAGATTACTGACCACTGCCTTTAAACGTTCACTATTCCCCCACCCCGCAAAGTCTCTCCACCATCCAGCCCCCAGCCCCACATTATGATCATGGCACTATTTCTAGTGTTTATTCCACGTCATTACTCTGGGCTGCAGTAGGAGCAGCTGACTCCAGGGGTTGAGAACCTCCCTCCCTCCACAGACCCTTTCTTGTGCTTAGAATGTGATCTCAGTGCAGCCGAGGAGGGATTGTTTCCTTCTTCGTATCTGTGTCTGCGTTGCCTAGCGTGGTGCCTAGCACCGAGCCGATGTGCTCATAGTTACCTTGTGTTTTGCAAAGATTCATCTGAGGATGTGCCATTTCCTATGTTAGATTGTAAGTTCTTTGAGGCCAGGGGAGTTTTTCTTTTTGTCTCCATACCCCTATCACTGTGCACTGTCTAGCATAACAAATACCTGTTAGTTCTTTCCCCTTCTGCAAACAGACAGGTAGGACTGGGCAGGCACTTTGTGTTCGTTTATCTGGGCAAATGTTTGCCATCCCTCCCACCCCCTGCAACAGAGTATCAGTTCCTAGAGAGCAGTGACTTTTTGGCATCCTCTGGCTATAGCACAGTGCCTGGCACGTGGCAAGGCTTTGAAATGATGCTCATTGAATTCACGTGGAGTGTCTGTCCCTCCCACGAGCCTTCTGAGACAGGGTCTGCAGGGACCTGCCGAGTAGGGTCTTCATGACTGACTTAATCACCCAATTTGACTACATGTAAAGTGTGTTTTAAACGGGGATGCTCTCTCTGTAGACATCAGCTATAATCGTGATTACCTGCAACATATGCAGGCCAGTGAAAGCCTGTCCAGTCCCACCAGATGAGGTGACTTGCACTGGAATGGGGTCCTCTGCTTTGGACACGTAGGGGGGATGGTGACCTAGACCCACGAGAGCTCCATGTTCACGTGTGCTTTGTAGTCAAAGGTGATGCCCAGCCTCTCCAGATTATCTTTGCTTCCTGTGATGTTTCTAACCAATGAGGATGGAAGACATTGGCCTTACAGAGAGGATGTCACTGGCTCTGCCTGCCTTCTTTAGAGGACCAACAGAACTGCTCCTGAAACATGATCCCAGGCTGGGCTGCTCAATCAAGTCTGAACCAATGGGTTGGGAAAATTCTTTGCCTTCACCTCCTCTGGTGGAATGACGTGCCTGCCCACCCTCAGTGCAGCTGGATCACACCAGGATCTTTATCAGCCACTACGTTATCCCATGTCACAATTCACCAGGAAACTGAGTCTAAAACTGTTGTCCCGCTTATTTTTCCCTCTTGCCTCTCTCCCCTGTCCCCATCCCCCTTCCTAGTTTCATGGCAGCGTGACGTAGCGGGAAGGAGCTGAGACTCGGCATCAGGAGCCCGGGATGGAGAGCAGTGCTGCTTCAGACACTGGCTGTGTTACTGCTGGAGGCTGACACGGCTTGGACTGTTCTCCTGGCGGTTTAGGTTTGATACTGGAAGAGCATGAGACCCTCCTAAGTTGTGGAGCAGCGAAGAGAAGGACAGTGATTTAGCCAAGACAGTTAAGCAAGAACCCTGGAAATGAATTCATCTGAGCACGGCTCCCCTTCCCCAAAGTGGTCCACAGTGGTCCAGCATCCAAGCATCGTTGAGGGGCTGGAGTGCCTCCTGTCCTTGTAAAACAAAACCAAAAAAAGAAAAAACCCTCACACAGCCAGAAATTGATATCAAGGACTGGAGATTTAGTCCCCTGAGACAAGTTCGCCTTGATCATGTTCTAAGTCCTTTTTTAAGGAAAACAGCTGATAGAAACCCACATAACGGGGGATTCAAGTAAATTCCCCCTACCCAAGTGACAATGAGGAAATCTACTTAGGCTCAGTCTATTCACCTTTAAAATGGTGATAAGTATATGTACTTTACTTCTCTCTCATAACCGACTTGAAGAATGTGCCCTGGCAGCCTTAAAGAGCTATCAGCTTTTGATGAGGTCATTGTTGTTCGATATGGGCAGGATTTCAGCATGAGTTTTCTTCATTTTTATGTGGCATCGTTAACTTTAAAAATATTCTTTCTCTCTCTCTCTCTCTGCCTCTCCCCGGCCATCATTGATGTCACTTCCTAATGACTTTCACCCCTAATAGAATGTTCCCTACACAGAAGTAGATTAGCAAAACCAATCGATGTATTGGCTCAATCTGCCCAAATTGTGTTGACTTGTCCACGTAGCACCCTCACACTTTCAGACTTCTAATGTTTTGTGAGCTGGAAGGAATAGTCTGCACAGTTTGGAGTTTCATGAAGAGGAAGAAAACAAAAGAACAGTATTTGCCCCTGTGCTTCTCTCCCTGAGAAAGAGGAAGCTTTCTGGGTTCCTAAATCAAGAAATGTTAATGAAAACATCTCCAGATTTCCCAAGGACCTCCGTTAGTCAAAGTAAAATTCAAGTGAAGCAAAAACTCGTTAGTTCATATTCTCCTAATTAAGAATTTGTGATAGCTCAGATATGGTGTGCAATTTCATCTTCCAGTCAAACACTCAGAAGAAGGGGCAGCGATGGGGCTTTCCCGACAGCACGGAGGGCCGATGGAGGTATCTCTTGTAGACTCCATTTTGCTGATTAGGGCTCGTTATTTCTTCCCGTCTTTTATGTGCTATGAGATCCATACTACACAAGGTTCAATGGAAGGAACAGGGCTTGTTTAGTCTGAGGGGGAGAAGACTTGGGTGGATACGTCCTCTTGTTCAACTGTAGGAAAGCACATCAAGGTGAATTAGGCTTGTTCACCTTGGCCCTTGAGGGTGGAATGGGGAACAGGTGGGATGCTTGTTCTGATTCAGGTTGCACTAGATGTCATCTGAGAGGTCCCTTCCAAGGCTGTTATTGTCAGTCTGAAGTTGTGAGAGTATAGATCTAAAGAGTTATAGAATAATAGCTCCTCTTCAGAGAACACCAAGGTTAACCAGTGGCTAAACCAGAGTTCCTTGTACTACTTTCCAACCGTTGTTGAAAACCTTTAGGGGCAGCTAGGTGGCACAGTGGATAGAGCACTGGCCCTGAAGTCAGGAGGACCTGAGTTCAAATCCGGCCTCAGACCAAACACTTGACGCACTTACTAGCAGTGTGACCCTGGGCAAGTCACTTAACCCCAATTGCCTTACCAAAACAAATAAACAAACAAAAAAAAAACAAATAAAAGAAAACCTTTAGCTAGGGGTAGCCCACTCGGTCCCAGGGCAGCCCATTTCCTTTTGCTTAGGACGTCTCTCGTTGTTGGGAAACCTCCTGACATCAAAGTCTAAGGTGGGGGGGGCACTATTGGTCTTCCTTTTGCCCCACCCTGGGCCAAACAGGATGCATCTAGTCCCTCCTTTCCCTGACCCCCCTGCAAGTGCTTGAAAGCCAGTGAGCATGCCTCTGGAATCTCCCTTTCTCCAGGTTAAACATCTCCAGTTCTTTAAACCACTTCTCCTAAGGCATGATGATTTCCAGACCCTTGGCCATCCTGGCTACTGTCTTACATTTTTAGTATCAGGTTAAAGCAATTTCAGCTCTGGCCTCACATCCCACCACATGCTCATTCCGCCTCCTCTGAAATGATCTGATATTTGCTTTATGTATTTTTTTTCCTCTGGTTATGGGTGGACACGCTGTTCATTCCAGTAGAAAATGCCAGCTGAGGGCACAGCAGATTTCCGTCTCCTCTCCACTGTCTCTTAGCTTCAGCCTCTTCCTATTATCTTGGAATTCCTTCCTTGCCGCTTTCACACGTGCCCGTCTTCTCCAGCCTAAAACAGATAAACCTTCATTCCCCCAAGGTGGTGTTCTGTAGCTCCTTTCTTCTCAACGAAATTCCTATTAAAAAGCTGTTGCCAGGTGATACAGCCGATGCCTCTACTCCTCCCCTCCCGTCACTTCTAAACCCCTTGCAGTCTGGCTTCGGAATTCGTCACGCAATTGGAACTGCCCTCTCCAAAGTTACAATGATGCAGTGATCTCTTAATGACCAG